TGTGTGTGTGTGTGTGTGTGTGTGTGTTTGTGTGTGTATGTAGGTCAGAGGACAAGTTTTCAGAGTGTCAGGCTTGGCAGTAAGAGCCTTTACCTGGTGAGCCATCGCTCTGGCCGCTATCCCAGAGGATCCAGGTTTGTTTCCCAGCATCCACACGGAAAGCTCTCAACCACCTTTTAAGTCCAGTCCCAGGGCATACAGTGCCCTCTTCTGGCCTTCATAAGTGCTGTGTGCACACGGAGCACAGGCAGACACGCGGGCAAAACACCCACACACATAAAAATAAGATACCATGTTGAAAAAACATTGAAAAGGGGCTGAAGAGGTCACTCAGTAGATAAGAGCCCTGGCTGCTCGGTTCCTAGGACTTAGACGGTGGTTCACAACCACCTGTAGCCCCACAGGGATCCAGTGCCCAATCCCAGCCTTCACTGGCACCAGGCACTGCCGCAGTGCACAGGTGCACACGCAGACGTAAAAACAAGACACAACCCATGTACAAAACAACGCTCCTATCGCCCCCAAAATGCTCTGCAGAAAACACGGAAACCAGAAAGGTAGATAAAAATGAGCAAAAAGTCCAGTCTGTAACTTGGTTTTTCAATGACTCGAGCAGTGCTTTCAGCAAGCTGTAACGGTGATCTCTGAGCCTTGTGTGGTGGTACACACATGTGACCCCAGCACATGGAAGACTGGTGCAGGAGGATGGAGAGTTTATGAGCCTGGGATACACAGTGATTTCCTGTACCCAAACACCAAAGAAAATACATTTTAAGAAAGTAGAAATTGCTCCTGGGTAACCCTGGAGGCTTTTCTGCAAAGTAGACACATCTGGGCATGACTGAGTGGATGGGAACTGGAGTGTAGCTTGACTGTCCTAGACAAGAAACAGTTGCCAACCTCTCTCACACACACAGAAGTAGAGGACAAAGTGTGTTCCTTCATCTTGGTTTTGTCTAGTATGTGCCCAAGGTGCTTGTCACAGGGCACAGGGCACATGGCACACGTGGGGGCAGACAGTTACTGAGGGAAGTGACTTCCTAACTCCATCCTGGGAAAGTCGGGTTCTTTCTATTGAAGCCTGTGAAGATACATGTGCCAGGCAGGGCCTCTGGTTCTTTAGCTGTGTGAGCTGTATTTCCTGTCTCTGACCCCAGCCCTGCTGTAAATAGTAATTCATTTTCTGACCTCTGCTGCTGGGCTCCTAAGTATCCTTACTGGCTTGTCCCCAGGGCACAGTCTACCTACACCATTCTGTTCAGCATGTACCTCAAAAGATGCCTGTCTCCGTGAGCTGGTGCCTGGGAGGCCAGCCCAGGAATGGCAGGTGGGTGGAAGAGACTCTGGAACCACCTGGCACGCTGGTGAGTTCGTACTGTCTTAAAAACTACCAGTTTAAGCTAGGTGCGGCGGTGGGCACCTGTCATCACCGCAACGGGGAGGCAGAGGCAGGTGGATCTCTGTTAGTCTGAAGACAGCCTGGCCTATGAAGCAAGTCCAGGACAGTCAGGGCTACACAGAGAAACCTTGTCTCGAACCTTCCCCAGCCCCCTCCCCTAAAAACAAACCAACTGCCCCCCAAAAGCTCTATCAGTTTACAGCAGAATGACAACTTTGAAACACAAAAGTTTTGCCATTGAATTTGCAAAGCCTCGCTGTGGAGCAGGGAAGGGGAACATGTAAGAGAAATGGCCAGTGGGGTGTGGGACACACCCACAGTACCAGCATTCAGGAAGCAGAGGCAGGAGGATTAGGAGTTCAGTTAGCTACATAATGATCTGGGCTGCCTTCGAGACCTCTGACCAGAGGTCAGCCTAGTGGCAGGAGCAGTGTGAATCATGTACGCCTAACAGGTCTGACCCATTCCATTCTGAAGGGCACCAACTGCAAACATTGCTTAAAGGGTTCTATAAAATCAGCCAAAGATGGTCCAGGCCCAACAAGCCCACATTAAGGTATCAGGTCAAACAGTCTTATTTACATAAAGTGCCTGGTGAACCCAGAGCCTATCACCTGATGCTCAGGTACCAGAGCTACAAAGTTCTCATTCAAGCTGACCTGAAAACATCGTTGTCTTACAAAAGTCAAAGGCAATATAAAACATTTCCCAAACAACCTGCTTTTTGGTTCATCTCTGTCTCCTACACGAGGCAGCTCCTGCTGGTCCCATGGTGGGATACAATGAAATGAAAGAACAGAGTTGAGGCGGAGTGAAAGGTTTGAGTCTGGGCAATAATGTTGGGACTGTCATCTCAGAGGCTAAGAGTGGGAGAGATACAGGTGCAATGGAAAATGGAAATACACAAACAAAGGGTATAGAATGAGGGTAGGTCCAGGCTAGCTGTTCAGTTTCTTCCTTCCACCAGGAGCAGTATGGGGTTCAGCCTGGCTTCTTTCATGCTGTACCTCAGGCCCTGTCTCCACTTGGGAGAGCAAGGCCAGCTGGGTGTATCAGTGACATTTGCCTCACCTCCCAGTCTTTCAGTTCTGACAGGCTCTAAAGCGACTGAACCTTCAACTAGGACAGACAGTTCATGAGCGCTTAAAGCACCCTGTCTTGCTCAGTGTCCACAAAGACTGGCAGGTGGATGGATGGAGGGAAAGGGGCCTATGGAGTGCTTGGCATTTCTGAGGGTGCCTCTTGCTCATGTGACAAGCCTCCCTTCCCTCTAGTCTGCTAGAATCATGGTTCCGTGAGACATTCAGTGCATTGGTTCTGGCTTTGGCTGAAGCTATGGATTCTACTCTTTCCAGCTGAGTTCTGCCAGCCAACCCCAAGAGACCATTTTTTTCCTGCTGGCTCTATGCCTGTGGTGGCCTCCGTGGGAAGGCACAGATAGGGAAGGCCTGGCTTGCTGCATCTGGGACACTGAAGCCGGGCCAGCTCAACGCTGCATTTAGCCCATGATGAAGTGTGGAAGCCACCCTAGGCCCCACAACTGACTCGACCTGCAAAAACATTCATTTCCTTCTGGAATGTTTGGGTTTGCTCTGGCCCACTAAGGTGCCAGGACTCCTTGAAATCCAAACATTTAGCCCAGAGGTCCTGTTGGACAAGTTAGGATAAATGGCTTCCTCCTGACCAGGGCGGCCACGGAAGCTGGGAAGCTGCGGGCCCTGGCCCTAGGGCCTGCCTCTGCCTGGGTGCCGTCCTGGGGCACACACATCTGGGTAAGGAGAGTAAAGGGCACATTTCAGAGCAAAGCAAGTCGGTGTGTCCCTGAAGCATGAAGGACCTAACAGTTTCCTGCCTGAGAATGTTCCTACCACACTCTGACATGGTCAGGGCACGCTGTATTAGCACTATTTTTGAGACAGGGTCTTGTTGCTATGTAGCCTAGCCTGGGCAATCCTGCCAGTCCTGAGTTTTTGTTTTTCTCTCCCTCTCATTTGAGATTGGGTTTCATATAGCTCAGGCTGGTCTTGAACTTGCCATGTAGCTGAAAAAGACCTTGAACTCCTTATCTTCCACTGGGATCACAAGTGTTTGACATTGTGCCCAGCTACAATCTTTTTTACAGATACACAGGAAGATGGGAGTCTGCCCCAGCTCAGACACTGCAGAGCTGGGGTCTGAACTAAGTCTCAGCCACTGTGCTACGCTGTCCCCAGGGCCAGCTACCCAAGGTCACTGAAGTCACCTGGAACCTCCTCATTCAGGGTTACCTTGACCAAACCTCGACAGTCATGTTAACCTGAGTAAAGTCACGTGGGACTGGGCATGTTACTGTACTCATTTCATCCCAGGACTCAGGAGGCTGAGGCATGAGGATCACCAAATAGAGGTTAACCTGAGGTTAACCATATGGTGAGACTTTGTCTAAAAAATTGAAAACAAAATGCAAAAAGAAAGCAGCGCTTGATGAGACGGCTCCGTGAATGAAAGCTGTGTGAGCCCGATGACCCACGTTAGATCCCAGAGCCCACATGGTGGAGGAAGAAAGCTGACCCTGCAAGTTGTCCTTTGACCCTCACACATGTGAAACTACTCCTACACGGTCAACACAAATAAATGAAAGCAAAAAGGAGACAGGGAAAAGACAAAAGTTTCTGGCCACCTGGTCCCATTTTTTTCCTGGGTGTGTGCATCTCTCAGATGAGGTTCCAAGAAATTCAGGTTGGCTGCTATCTGGACCTCTTTGGAAGGGCAGCCCCGACTTTCCTGTAAGGTTCTAGGGAGGCTCTCCTTCCTGATCTGGTCCCGCCTGGCCTCCACTCAGCACAGCACATGTCCATACATACTGAGGTCCCATGGCACCAACCACAAGGGCACCTATGTACCATTGGCAAAGCTTTTCCTTCAACCTATGCAAGTTATAGTCCAAGCCGCTAAGAGTTCACAACTGTGTGGTTAACACCTGTCAGGACCTACAGTCACCATGTACCCGACCACTGGGCATGCCCGTGAGCGAGCTTTGAGAGTGGGTTAGTTGAGGCGCGTCCTTACTAGGGGCAGCACCCAAGGCGGGGGCCTGGAGTTGATAACAAGGAGAAGCCGGCTAAGCAGCAACAATGACCTCTGCACCCTGCCCTGCTGTGAGGGGCTGTCACACACTCCTGCTGCCTGCCCTTCCTGCTGTGATGGACTGTACCCTTGAACCATAAGCCATAATAAACCCATCCTTCCTTCCACCCTTCCTGCCTCTGCGTCAGGTATCTTGTTGCAGCAATGAGAAAAGTAACGAACACGCCCACCAAACAATCATTCCTGCTTCAGCTGTTACTCCAAAAGGAAGGGTTGAAAGCAGGAGTGACATGGGGAGGGCGGGGGCAGGGCCAGGGTACCCACCACATCTGGAGCCTTCTGGATTTTCGAGGCCAGCTGGAGAGAGTGGTTGGCTGACGAGAGCTGTTCCCTTAAAGTCTCTGCCTCTCTCTGTGCCACTTCTGCCCTCTGAAGAAAACGAAAAGGGGTGAAGAGAAGAATGTACATTTGGTTTAACAGCTGACAATTATTATAACAACATTCATCAATTCATGCCTGACTGACTGTAATTGATTTTCCTAAACACTCAACCTAATAAATGCTAGGGAAACACACACACACACACACACACACACACACACACACACACACACACTAGAATGTGATGGATTTTTATTTTAAACAGTACAAGGAAGAAATAATTGAGCGATTATGACAGTAATTTAACGCTAGGAGCGAGGAATCCCCTGCTGGTATTAATGCTCCGGCCCATTGCGTTTCCCAGACTGAATAAATACCGGTGGAAATAGAGTCTTCTGATTCAATTTCTTTCCTTTCTCATGGACCGAAGAGACTTTACCACAGGGTTACCCCTGGGAGTCATTCTCATGGGTAAACACTGAATTAAAGACACTCTGGCCATTCTCTTCTCCCCCCGCACAATGCTGTGGTTGTTTTCTTCCATTGTGCATCTCCATAAGTGGACTGCAGAAATGTGGCTTCTTTTGTGAGGGGTGAGTTGCTTCCGCAGTTAACCCTTCATGGGGGAATATTTGCAAATGCTGGCTGGCATTTGCAAGCTAGCCAGATACTCTGGGCCAGCTGTGACTGGGGCCAAATTGGTGTTGGGATGGAACCTAACAGGAATGGTGGAACCTTCTGAGGTTTGTCTAGGACCCTACATGAGAAAGCCATGGCTGCTGTAAATTCAGCCTTGCCACTGAGGAGGCCATTCCAGCCCAGAGCACCCAGGAGGCCATCTGGGAATAGAGGCAGCAGGGACAGCCACCTATGGTCCCGGGGTCTCTACCTTTGAATCTAAAGAATGCAAACATTGTGCCCACTCACACACCACACCCTCAGGGGTTCACCATCGAAATGGATGTGGGAGAAGTTCCTCTACAGACTTACCCAGGTCTCACTATTATGACTAAGACAAAAAAACAAGACAGGTGGGCAGTGGCAGCTCATGACGTCCGGACGTGGACTGAGAGTGGCGTGCCGCTTTCTATACCCTCAGCAAGTTATGTTTAGTCATCAGAAAAAAGTTAACGAGGAAGGCAAGGGAGCAGGGTTCTGCGTGTGAGGAGGACAGCACAGGCCACACAGTGGGTTTTAGGCCTGGCAACACAGTGAGTAGAGTCACCTGAGTTACACAGTGATTTCAAAGCCAGGTTGGCGATATAGTGAGTTCAAGGCCAGCCTGAACTACACTGGGAAATCCTGTCTCAAAAACCAAATCAGAAAGTTACCCACAAAACAAATCAGGAGAGCTGGCTGAGAAGGATTGTTTCCCCAGTTACCACGAGAGAAGTTACAAAGTGAAAACACGCATGAGCTTGTTTTTGTGCTCGCTGGCTAATCTGGCGCAGTGGGCAGCCAGGGTGCCTTGATGTGGCAGCAGTGAGGCCACACAGGAGTTAGAATCTTCCTTACTAAGGACAGTTTATCTGCCCAGGGCAGGGCTGGTAGCCAGCTGGCCTGCTTCTTGGAGGAATTAGGGAGCGGCCCTCAAGCCGCCACACCTATGCCCAAGTGTTTCCAGACACAGTCTCACTCCAGATAGAATCTAGAACCAAAGGGACCACAGAACCAACTGTCAGGAAAAGGTTTTAGTAATACGACAACAATGGAGAGAGAAATGTCCACTTCATGCTAACTATCCAATGAGTCCCATTCTCAGCTCATGACTGGGAGCTCTGGACAGGCTCTGACACAAATCCCTTGCTTTCTTTTTCCTTTTTATTTTGAAACAGGTTCTTCCAAGCTAAGTTGCCTCAGCTGGTCTTGAACTTCTGTCCTTCTGCTTCAGCCTTGTAAGAAGTGGACAAAAGCTGTTTTTCCAGACACATGACTGAAAAGCACATCCTTCTATAATTAGTGAGGCAGACCTTCAAGCACACAACCCCACAGCTCTGCCAGGAATAACGTATCACTTGACAAATTTCCTAGTGTCTTGGATGGGGAAAAGTATTTCTTCACCGACGAGGGAAGAAGTTCGGAAAGCTGTGAACAGGCAGCACTGGCACAGTGGCACGCTGGTAGCTCCTGGCACTATCAGAGCTGGGGATGGCCCAGGTGGTGGGTCATTGCAGAGTCCCCCTGGCTACCGAAGGCCAGCATGGCAATTCACATACATTAACGTCGCTGATCTGTGAGTAGCAGGACTATAGGAAACTGCAATACTTCTCAGTGCCGCCAAGGCGCTCCCTGGGCGCCCTGGGGCCTGAATGTAAGACAGGGCCAAGCCAAGGAATGCCAAACCCTGTTGTCCATGTGCCTGGCCCCATGGGGAGGGCCTGGACTTGGGTCTATGGTGCCAGCATGATGTCCACATCCCCATCCAAGAGCAGGGCACAAGGGCCAACTGAATGAATGGGAGTACAGAGTGATCTGTTCCCAGTCCATGGGTGCTGGAGGCCTGCTGTTAAGGTGGTTGTTTTTTTTTGTTTTTTTTTTTTTTTTTTTTTTTTTTTTTGTTTTTGTCTACCTGACACAAGCTAGAGTTATCTGGGAAGAGGAAACCCAGCTGAGAAAACACCTCCATCAAAGAGCCTTTAGGTAAGCCTGTGGGGCATTTTATTTAATAATGATTGACGTGGGAGGGTCCAGCCCACTGTGGGTGGTGCCAGCTCTGGGACTGTGGTCCTGGGAGCTGTAAGAAAGCAGCCGAGCAAGGTATGGAGAGTAAAGTAGTCAGCAGTGTCCCCAGTGCCTCTGCTTCAGTTCCTGCCTCCAGGTCCCTGTCTTGAGTTCCTGAACTGTGACTTGCAAGGTGAAGTCAACCCCTTCCTTAAACAACAGAGAACGAAGACAGCAGGGGACTCGCTAAGTCAGTGTGGGTAGAAGAATGCCGAATCTAGAATTGTGACTTGGGTGTCCTGAGTCCAAAGCTCCATTAGCACATAAAACCTTGGCAGAACGTCATGTGCCGCGGAGCCTTTCCCCCCTCTGAAAGGAGCTCAGGCTCTCAGCACTTGGCTCCTTCTGCTTGGGGGAAGTTAAGATGTGCTTCCGGGCCTGCAGATGCACCTCAGATGGGGCAGCACCTGCCTCAGCTGCACTAAACCCTGAGGTTTGACCCCAGCACTGCATGACGGCATGGCAGTACACGCTGTAATTCCAGCACACAGTAGGTGGATCATCCTCAGAGGCAGAGTGAATTTGACCAGCTTAGCTATGAGACTCCTTCTCAAAAACAAACACACACCAATAAGCAAGCATACTCTAACCATAGCACAAGGGGTCTTTCACACTGTCTTGCTCCATAATTGTCAGCCAGGTTAATAGGAGAACAATTTGGTTTAAATAGCTTCCTCTAGCCCCACTGCTGTGGCTTTGTATTGGGAATCAGAGCTGCTCTGGAAGGGAAGCAGGGAGAGGCATAGCTGGTAGCCCACACAGGGAAGACGTAGTTCCTCTGTGCTCTTTGATGTGCCAAGCTAAGTTTATTTATCAAGAAATTCCAGGAGTCCAGAATCTTTCCTTTGCACAGCCAGCTAAGTATTACAATACAACGATAACTACTAATCCAAGTCCTGGAAGTTGAGCACAGATGTGTCAAGAAGACAGCCCTGCCTCAGTAGAAGCCTGGTTCCCTGGTTCCCTGGGTAGACAGACTCTCTGAGCAGTGGAACAGCAGAATGCCTGCAGTAAGCTGAGGGCAAAACCAACACTCATGGTCAGTAAAGGAGCAAACTGCTCCTTCTGGGCAGGGTCCTGGTGCAGCCCTGTTCCTGCTCAGTCCCCCTCTGCCTTGTTTCCCTGGGTGCCATTTCCTGCCCAGCTCCACCAGCTTCTGCTGCCCTCGCATCCGGCCTGCTCTCCCAGCCTCTGACCTTTCCGTTCCCATTCCCTAGCACAGCTTCCTTTATGGTGATTCCTTTATTTGTTCTGAATGAACTTTTAAAGATTTGCTATATTTTTAATTTTGTGCACATGAGTGGTTATGTGGAAGTGTGAGTGCAGGAGCTCTGAGAGCTCAGAAGAGGGCACCTGATCCCCAGGAACTGCCCAGTATGGGTGCCAAGAACCCAGCGTGGGTCTTCTGTGCCAGAACTATGTGCTAAACTATCTCTCCAGATAAGCTGCCTTTTAATTGACTAGAAACCCAGATCTCCATCCTCCCTGTATGTCCACTCTCAGGATAAAGCCTCTCTCCTGCTAACTTGCCGGGCCCTGGCCCATCAGGCCACTCCCCAGCTGCTGCCCACATATAGCATAGCTTTCTTCTGACGCCAATTCCAGTGTTTGCCCTGTAGACTTATTTCTTTTTTCTGATCTTTCCCCTTGAGACTCAGCTAGGCAGCCTTCTGGGCTTCCTTATTCCCTTCTCAGATGCTGTACCAAGGGCACCTACCCTTTAACCCTGTAACACAATGGTGTCATCTACAAAGTTCACATGAGCCAAGTCTGCACTTAACTTATAAACCAAACAGAAGCAAAACAACACCCCAAACAGTCCAAAACCAACCAAGAAACAAACCATCCCCCAACAAATGAGTCAAGACAACCTTAAGACTTCTGGACTTTTTGTCTCAGCTCATCCATGGACCAGGCACTGTCTGTTTCCCTATTTATAAAGCAAGAATCCTGACCACGTGGACCTCAGGAGGAGGCTGGGCGGTGACGGGATATGGCTCTGGCAATGTGCTTAGACAGACCTCGTATGGAACAGTCCAGGATGGACAACCATTCTGACTAGTACTTGGGTGGTGAAGACCACCTGAGACCTCAGGTGACCAGTGCCACAGAAGGCCCCTTTGAGGCCAGGCCCCGGACCTTGGGAAAGGCCTACAACACACTAGCCCCTGGCCCCACCCTGTTCTCCTAAGGGAACAACAGAGCCACTCACTCCGTTATTCCTTCCTATGCAGTTTGCTGCTCAGGCTTCAGGTGACTTTTATCAGGGAAAATGTGGACTCTCTTTCCCCTGAATGTTGGTGTGAGTCTTGGGGACCAGTGCCTAGGAACTCCAGGTGCTCAGGGAACTCCAGAGGGGCTGAAGGGATTCTGGGAGGCTTTTCGTTTCACAGAGAACCTTAACCTCACTGGCTGAGGTGACCTCAAGATCCAAAACTTCTGGTGTCTATGACTATCCAGCTGTAAAATTGAGTGGGCAGAGGCCAAAGGTCATGTCCTTCTGGGCTGAGAAACTAATTTCTGCTTTAACTGTTTCTCCTCTAAGACTCCATGGAGCCCGCCTGGGAATACAGCTCTGCTGGTTGGCTGAGAGCTTCCTAGCTTTCACCAGCTGTGGTGGTACACACTTGTCACTCTAGCACACGGAAGGTGGAAGCATGGCGATCAGAAGTGGAGGTCATTATCACTTCCATAGCCAGCAGCACCAGCTGTGAAAACAAAATGTTTTACCGGCCTGCAGGGATTGTGAAAAACAGGTAGGTTTATGGATAGCTGAGTGCTTGGGGCATGTGCTGTGTGTTTCCTGAAAGGTGTGTCTGGTAACTGGGTGTCAGCCGAGACACCCAGTTACTGTCCGCTAGAGCCTGCTAGGAGATGACAGGCAATTCTATTGCAATGGATGACTGGGGCTGTGGCATCAGACACACGTAGCCTTCCGTCATGGGAAGACACTGTTGTCTTCACTGTTCATGACTGGGAACTGGGCAGCAGCCAGCCAACCTCCCAGTGTTCTAATAAGCTTATGCCTTTGTGTTGGGCCTCATTCATGGCTACTCTGAGATGCATGTGGCCTGTGGGCCCAGGTCTGGACACTCCTGGAAGACATGTGCTGGAGGAGATAAGGGAGCAGAAGAGTGAGTACCTCTCAGACACTGTGGCTGAACCCAATATTCTCTCAGGAATAGTTCTGTGGATTATTTCTAAGTCCTCATGACGCCATGAAAACAGATCCACAGTGACCTCCACCCCATCCTGGTGTGAGGTGTCTCCCAAGACAACTGAAATGGTGCATTCTGGTGTTTCGCGCTGAAGGTTCTCAACGGCCTACCTGGTTGGCTCGCTCAAGGTCAGTCATGATCATCTCGATCTCGTCGGCCCTGGGGAAATGAGAGGGAGAGAGGCTGGTCACCACCGAGGTGGAGGCACTGAAGCGACCCACACTGAAGCGGAAGGACCATATCCACAGGAGGAGAGGTTGAGGCTCTGGCTTAGGGTGGGGAGGACCAGACCAACCTCTAGGGGTCACAGCACTCAACGGGACAAGGTAGACAGGTCACGCGCAGCGTGCTCGCTAGCTTTCTTCACTTTTACTTGCTACTATTGTATGTTCTATCCCTGCCATAGTGCTGAGGACAACTTTCAGAAGTTGGTTCTCCTCCAAGGAGCAAACTGAGGCCTTCAGACATACATAACAAGCAATTTTATCCACGAGCACATCACCAGACCTTAATTAATTAACCAGCTTACTGCTGAGATGGGGCCTCCCATAGCCAAGGCTGCTCCCAAACTGCCTAAGTAGTCAGGGGCGACTCTAGACTCCTAACCCTCTTGCTACTACCTCTCAAGTGCTAGGACTGCATGTGCCAAACTAGGCTCTTCATTCACTTTGTTGACGTCATGTGTCTGAAGGCGTTTTTACTCAGGCTGGGCAGACAGAGCCAAAAAATTAATCTTTGGATATGGCTCAAATTGGTAGAGCACTTGGCTGGTATGCATGAAGCCCTGAGTTCATCCTCAGCACCCACACAACAGGGCACCCACGCAACAGGGCACCCACACAACAGGGCACGGAGGTCTATGCTTGTGATCTCAGCAGCCCGCAGGTAGGAGCAGGCGGATCAAGAGCTCAAATCATTTTGAGTCAAAGGCTAGCCTGGACTCCACAAGACCCTGTTTCAAAAATAAGGATGAAAGCGCTTAGAATACGGCTTGTTAGAGGTTTGACTGGAGCTGTGGACAGTGTGCTCTGGAAGAACAGGAGGAGGGACAGCGGACCCTCCTCAGGGAAGGGATCAGGAGCCTCCAGAGGAGGCGCTGCACAGGCTGAGCTCTGATGGATAAGCAGTAGTCTGTCAGACCAGGGAAGGAGTTGCTGGGAAAGTCCGCCCTTAGGAAAGTGCCCCTGACAGCAAGGCCCTTCTAGGACACTGGGTGCTTGGGGCGGGGGCGGGGGGGAGGGGAGAGCAGGATGACGACTCGGGCTGCAGCGTGCAGGGCCAAGACCCCACCCAGCCCCCACTGCAGGTCTTAGCTACTTTGTTTGAAAGCACGCCTCTCCGAGGAAAGGTAAACACACAGTCCCACACCCGTAACGGACACAGGCTAAGTCACCAGAGAGGAAGGCGCTTCAAATAAGAAAATGTCTGCACAAGATCAGGCTGCAGGCGAGCCTGTAAGGTGTTTCCTTAGTGGCCCACTGTGAGTGCTGCCATCCCTGGGTTCTATAGGAAAGCACACTGGGCCAGCCGGTAAGCAGCACCCTCCTTGGCTCTGTGTCAGCTCCTGACTCAGTTTCCTGCCCTGACTTCCTTCAATGATGAACAGTGATATAGAAGTCTAAGTTACTCCCCAGCTTGCTTTTTGATCATGGTGTTTCTTCAGAGAAACAGAGTGCCTAACTAAGACAGCGCCCTACCAAGAGGGAGCCTAGGGCAGGCAAACTGCAGGTTTGGGAGAAAAGGCCAGAAATACTTGGCTCACCAGGCCTGGGTGAGCGAGCAGAGGCTGAAAGTGTTCAGGTAGCATAGCTCCTTGTCTTCCAGGATGGTTCTTCATGAGTGGTGCCATCTTTCTTCAGTTCTGCTCAACAAGCTTCACGTCTACCTGGCTGGACATGGCAGGCATACCCAGTCCTGTCTTCCATATCACTCAACCTTTATGGTTTTCTTCCTATGTGTACACACATATTCACGTGTGTGCGTGCTTGTGAAAGCCAGAGGTCAGCCTGCAGTGCTATCTACTCTTTTGTTTTTGAAATGTGGTTTCATTGTGTACCTTTTGCTGGCCTGGAACTCACCACATGGAGCAGGGTACTTGTGAGCTCCACTGGCCTCCTGTTAGGAGGCATCAGTTTTTGAGGCAAGCTCTCTCGCTGGCCTGGGGCTGGCTAAGTATGCCAGGCTGGCCAGCCTGCTGGAGCCATAGAACAGATCCTGCCTCGTTGGTCCTGGTTTTTCCTGTGGGTTCTGGGACTGAGCTCAGGTCTTGTGCTTGCAGAGCGAGTACTTTAGCAACTGTGCCATCTCCTCAGACTTCCGACAGTCTTCCACTCTGACTGGCACAGGCGAGATGGGCAAACCTACTTTTCCATGGTGGTAGGTACGGAGATCAGAGGCTAGTTTTAAGGAGTCAATACTTTCCTTTCAGCACATGGGTCCCAGGGATTGAACCCAGGCCCCTCACTCACTGGCAAGCACCTTTATCTAATGACCCACTTGGCCTGCCCACATGTGTATATGCATGAATGCATGTCAAGCCACGCATGTGCTCTCCTTTCACCCTCATGCATGTTCTGGCCATTGAGCTCAGGTCTTCACCTGCTGAGCCATCTTGCAGACTCTTTCTTTATACTTTCCTGCAGTCTTGTGGGAAGTTCTTCAACCTGTTCTGACTGGTCTTTGGCCGTGCCCCTCTGACAATGAGCATTTTCTATCTGTGTCTGTTACAAACTCTCCACGCCCATTGCTGCCCTTGCTATGGGGAGTCCACCTCATGTCTGCTCTCCTTCCACTGCTCGCCCTGGAGGTCACCTCGGATTCTCAGGGGAAGTAGCGTGGGGCAGCCTGCATCTGCCTGCGCCTCCCGTGCACTCCTCTCCAGGCACAGGGGCCAGAACACAGGAGGTTGGTGGGCTGCGAGTGGCTCGGCCCACCCTCAGCAGGGCTTGGGGACAGGGAGTGGACCTTAGATTCTGGAAGGTTTAGAGCTCTGTATTTCTTCAGCACTGAAGGTGTATGAGACATTGTGGAGCAGAACTGTAATTCCAGCACTGAGAAAGATGAGGCTGGAGGATGAGTTTTGATATTAGCTTGGGCTATATTAGTTACTTAGTAGTTTGAGTCCAGTCTAGGCTAAATGGTGAGACTCTCAAAAAAAAAAAAAAAAAAAGACATTAGAATTATTTTTTAAATAATTATTTTATGTGTGTAGTGTTTTGCCTACATGTACATATATGAGCCAGATGTGCTTGGTGCCTAAGGAGGCCAGAAGAGTTGGATCCTCTGAAACTGTAATTACAGGTGATTGTGAGTTGCCCCGTAGATGCTGGGAATTGAACCTGAGTCCTCTGCAAGAGCAGCAAGTGTTCTTAACTGCTAAGCTGTAAGCATTCCTAACATCTAAGAAATGCAACCAAAAGATTTCAAATCCTTTATGGAAACTTAGTCCTGAGCTGGGACTAGAGATGGCTCATTGGCTTGATACCCAGAAATCCACATAGCAGAGGAGACACGACCCCCGAAATTTGCCCTCTGACCTGCACACAGGCCCAGGACAACTCCGTGTTGCATATACTCACAAAATAAGTAAACAACAACAAAAAGCAAAATCAAGTGCCATCTTCCCCCCCCCCCCAAAGTGCTTTCTCTGCTGTTTGAAGCCAGGTTTTTCATCGGGGGTCAGTCTAACTGGCTGCTAAGCAACCACAGACCCGATTCAAATACTGAATGTGACAGCGGCAGCTGTGCTTTTATCTCACTGTGAGGGCACTCATGGCTTTCCTGGACACCGAGGAGATTGACAACACTGCCCTGCTGGCGATTTCCAGACCCAGAGAGGCCATCATTCCCAGGGACAACAGCAGGCGTGAGGGAACAAGCTTGCCACAATGTTCACGTTTCATCATTACTAATTTGTTACAGGCTCTGACATATCCTAGCGTGACTTCAAACTCAGGAGGTATCTGAAGAGAACCTTGACGTTCTGGTCCTCTTGCCTCACAAAAGTTGATGGAGCCCGGAGTTCATGTGCTGGGTCACCAAGGAAGTTACACCATCTAAGCCAGCCCTGTCCCACAGATAACCACTTTAGGAGACTACACACAAGCCTGTTCTTAGTTTCTTAGTTTTCTCTAGGTCAAAGAGAATACAACTAGTTACAACTAAGTTATCTCAGGCGGGGTCTCTTGCGTGGATGGAGGAATGCTCCGAGTTCTGAGTTCTACCGGGAGCACAGCCTGGCCCAACACAATGGGCCCCACCTGTAAGCAGTGCTTGGCTGGGTTTTGGTGAATCACGCTGGCTGTGCCTCCTGGGAAAAGGGAACCTCACCTGAGCAATTGCCCCCATCTGATTGGCCTATAGGCAAGCCTGTGGGACATTTTCTCCATTAATGATTCATGCAGGAGGGTCCAACCCACTGCGAATGCACCCTCCCCCCCCCCCCCCAGCTCCCCTCCTGCCCCCCCCCCCCCCCCCCCCCCGCCCCACAGGCACTCTTGGAGGTGTAAGCCAAACACACCCTTTCCTCCCGATTTGGGCAGTGTTTCATGACAGCACGAGGAAGCAAACCAGGACACACCCTCAGAAGCGTACTCGCCAATAAAACCAAGCGCACCAGATCACCTGTGCTTAGTAAGTGCCTGGATGTGTCAACACCCCCGCCCCAGCCACACCTGCTGCCTTGCCAGGACAGAGATGACGGTCCATGGCACAGTTTCCTAGCATGACAGTTAACCTTCGACAGTTCTTTTCTCCCTTCCTTCCTCCCTCCCTCCCCCTTCAGACTAGAGTACTGTAATACAGCCTTTCTGGCCTACTTCTCTTTACGCAGTACCAGGCTCGCAAGAATCCTCCTGCCTCAGCCTCTGGGATTACAAGTGTGAAGTCATGGTATCTTTAAGTTGTTTTGAAACAGGATCTCAAGTTGTCCTCAAAACTGTAAGCCTCCTGACTCCCAAGTCCTGAGTGCTGGGATTACAGGTGTATCATCATGCCTGGCCACTCTTTCCAAGGTCCTGACGATCATGAGGTTGGCATGTCTAAATTTTTTTCTGTTTAAGGTCTGTAGTACTGCACAGATTACTCAGCACAGTTCACCTTTGTGTGAACCGACAACACAGCATCCGCTGTCTGTTAGCCTGCACCGTTTTATGCTCTTT